TTCATATAAATGTGTTAAAGTCATCTTGTCTTTGGGATTGCATTGAATCTACAGATCAACATGAAGGGAATTGACTTCTTAACAAACAAATATGGACACATCTTAACATAATACCTCACATTTCTCTATTAAGTCTTTAATTTCTTTCTGTCATGTTTTATAGGTTCAGTATATGAGTCTTGCACATTTTTGTTAAATTCATCTCTAAGTAGTTTACTTCTTTTTGGATGCTTTGTAAATGGCATTATTTTTTAAATTTTATTTCTCAGTGCTTTACCAGTATATAGAAATACAATTGCTTTTTTTATGTCAATCTTTTATCCTGAAGCCTTACTAAATTCACTTATTAGTCTGGTAGTTTTTTGTTCAAGATGCCTTCGGATTTTCTTTGATCTTCTTAGGACCATGTCATCTGTGAATAAAGACAATTTTAATTCTTCCTTTTGCATAGGCTAGAACCTACTATGTGTAGCTTAGTACAATTTTGAATAGAAGTGGTAAGAGTAGACATATTGATGGAATACAAAGAAAAACCATACAGAAAATCAGTAGATACAAAAAAAGCATTAAAAAAAAATTCCAAATTCCATTTATGATAACCCATATAAACAAAAGTTCTTAAGAGTGTAAGAGTTTATAAAAAAGACCTGAAACCAAAAAGTTTGAAAACAGCTAGACTAGAGTAAACTAAAATACTGACTGCTTAAAATAAATAGAGATTCGTAATCTAGTGTCCCAACAGTTTTATAGATTTAAAAAAAAACTTTTTTTTTTCATTAACCTCAATGGAATTTAGTATTTCCTTCTATTTTGAATATCACAGTGATAATATTAGCAGCAACTGTGACTTTGTCACTAACAGATGTTACTCCTACTTTTTCTGTATTCTTATTTAAAATTTGTTTCTTGAAACAACATATAGTTAGGTCTTGCTTTTTTTAACCTTGCCCTTTAAATGGGATGTTTAGATGATTTGCATTTAATGTAATGATGTGGTTTCCTTTTAAGTCTACCTTCCCGCTATTTGTTTTGTATTTGTCCCAACTTTTCTTTGTTCCATTTTGCTTGCTTGTTTGCATTTTTCGTACTTTCTTTTCGATGACTTTCATTTTTTTAATGTGTCATTTTATCTTGGTTATTGGATTATTAGCTATTGTTTTGGGGTTTTTTAGTGGTTCTAGGGTTTACAATATGTATCTTTAACATATGACAGTTTACTTCAGCTATAATCTAAGAACCTTCGACAATATACTCCTATTTCTCTTCTTTTGTGCTGGTATTGTAATATATTTTACTTCCACATGTTATAAACACTGCAGTATGTTATTATTTTTGCTTTACGTGTTAGAAAAATCTTTTAGGGCCGGCCCGGTGGCGCACTGCTACAGTGCGCCACTTGGGAAGCGCGGTGGCGCTCCCGCCAAGGGTTCGGATCCCACATACTGACCGGCCGCTCACAGTGAGCAAGGAGCGGGGTCGAGGGTTGTGATCCCGTAGCCGGTCCCGGTCCGGTACGGGCGCAACACTGAGGGTTGCGATCTGTTGCCGGTCACGAAAAAAGACAAAAAAAAAAGAAAAATCTTTTAGATTTACTCTCATTCACCATGTAAGTATGTATTGGTGAACTTTTTTCTCCCGGTTTTGTTTTTAGGTGTTGGGAGGTGGTTTGGAAAAAATCTTTATTTCACTTTTATTTCTGAAGGATATAGTCATTGTGTTTAGCATTCTGGGTTGATCATTTTTTTCTTTAAGTATTTTAAAGATGTTATTCCATTTGCTTCTGTCTTGCATAGCTTCTCAAGAAATCTACGTATTAAGGGCCGGCCCAGAGGGTTCTCAAGAAATCTACGTATTAAGGGAGCGCGGCAGCGCTCCCGCCCGAGGGTTCGGATCCCACATACAGACCGGCTCCCGCTCACTGGCTGAGCGAGGCGTGGGAGCAACACCGACGTTTGCAATCCCGTTGCCGGTCCCTGGTCCGGTACGGGGGCAACACTGAGGGTTGCGATCC